CAGATGCCCTTTTGACTGAAGATCTTGGACGAAGCTAACCAAATCATTTGCGTGATGTTTGCGTAGATTGTGGGGTTCTTGTCTTCCTTCCTTGGTGTACAGGCCGAAGAGTTGGGTTGCATATGTTGTAGGCCCACTTGTGTATGGATCAGTTTTGACCACTTGGTAGGTTGTGATGACTGTCCTGGGAGACTCTCCTTTGCACCTATATGTCGTGTACACCCACCTTCCAAATTCGTCCTTGCCTTGGTCCATAATTCGCCCCTGATGATGACCTGTTGTAAGTTGCAAGATTCCACCAGGTTTCCTGGACTTGTCGGCTTTGATCGGAGTGGAGTGGGCATTCAATTTGAATGCATCCTTGTGCCCGAATGATTGTGTCGCGTCCTCCTTAAGTCGGCTTCTAACATATTGTTTTGTTGTGTCCAATTTTGTTTCCACTAACATCGAAATGTCGACTTGCATATCCTGCATTGTTTCACACATATTGAACCACCCCCCCCTGTCTGCTTATGTTGATTCCGTTGGCATTGATGTAATAAAAGCGTGTTGTTGTAAGATCTTTGGGTATTGTCAAGGTATGTCCCACTGCATCATTTGGATTGTTGTCCGTTGGAATTATGAGGACCCTCCATCACCGCCCGTGCTTGGGGCGCTGATGTTGCTTTTGTCGTGTTCTTCCACTGCTGCAAATTTGTCATCCAGGTTAGCAACTCCTATCATGTCTTCTGTGGTGGTAGCTTCATCATTGCTGTTCGTTTCTTGTCCTTCATTTGGATCCATGTCTACATCGTGAGTTGTCTGCTGAATGTGTTGCTGATTGGCACCCGGTGTAGCATCACGTCTACTTTTCTTGTGTGCTGGTGACTCAGTGGTGCTTTTACTTGCTGCAATCATCATCACCATCTGTTGTTGCATCAGTTGTTGCATCTCATCCAGTTTTTGTTGCATTGTCTGTTCCATGTTTGCTTGCAGTTGTTCTTGTAGCTCCTTTTGTTCCTTGGCATGTGTTTGGAGAGTTTGGCTCAAGGTCGATTTGATCTCCTTTAACTCTGTTTGCAAAGCTTTGTTGACATCTCTCAAGATATTCTTTTCTCTCATCAGGTCATCTATGGTGTCTTCCAACTCTTGCTCTCTTTCTGTTTTTGCAGTGTTGGTGCTACTGGCTGCATCAGAGTTGGTCATATGTGATACTGCATCTCCTTCATGGTTGCTCTGTGATTCATTGTCGGATTGATTGGATTTGGCTCCAGCTACAATCGCAGCATAACTGTTGGTGGCTACTATAGCTGTCGGAATGGAGGGGCGTGTGGTGTTCATGGGATTTTGTTGGGTTTGATCTGAAACTGTCGATGACAGAAGAAAGTCGAATTTGGTGATTGTGGTTGCTTTTGTTGCTCTGGTTTGTTGGGTCTGCACGGTGCGATCATCCCGACTAAGGGGAACGATGATTGGTGCTTGGATGTCGGGATTGTTAGTGCAATGATTTTGGATTGACTGCTGTATGAATTGATGCACTTCATCCTTTTTGTCCATGAGACATACGACATAGATTGTTCCAGTGTCCTTGGTGTGGCTTGTGGTCGAGATGTGGATGATGTTGAGTGGTGCTTTGTTTTGTTCTGCCACGGTTTTCAGTGCTTCAATGATGTTGGAGGTTGTATTACAGACACCTCAATACAAATTAGTCGTTTATCCCAATCTAGTTGATAGGGGATATCTATATCTATTCTCTAGTTACATACATGGGGAGTTTAACTGATCTATATGGTCACCCCCTTCACTATATCCTTTGAAGTTGAATCAATCCCAGAAAACATGGAGAAAGATCACTTCTTGGAAATAGCTTAACAGTAAAACAGTATTTTACCTTTACTAAGCTAGAGTGTTACTAGCAACCAACACTATTTCCAAGAAGTTTGTACCTCATCTCGAATTCGGGATCTCGCCAATGGCGACATCGATATCAAGTCAATCCTATTAGAGTCCATGCTATAAGGTAAACAGTTCAACAGAGTCGAGTCAAGGTTCAGACAGAAAGGGCTCTGGCCTCACTGAGAGAGCCATCCCAACAGTCTAGCAGGAAATCTTCCGCATCACGAAACCGTGACCTACTCTACTACGTTGATTGATCAACCGGAATCAGCGCAATCGGTTTATACCACGTGAAAGAACATCACTAACTACACCACTTTCATGCTTGAACCAAGGAAATCGAACAGAAACTGATTGAGATACGAAGATCCGCTACAAGCAAGGATCCGAAGCAAAGCTAGTGAACGACTGCCACGAAAACGCCAAGCTCACAGGAGTGAGCGAGCGATAGCTCACAGGAGTGAGCGAAGCCCAAGATTTTGTGCTGCGGAAACAGCCATTGTATGACTGCTAAGTGCAGGTACGAAAACCAACTACAAGAGGACTCATCCATCCGCACGTTCGACGTTCGAAGTGCAGGAGTGGTGGTCAGCCAAGCTAGCTATCTAGCTAGCTGCCACAACGAATCCATCAAGACAAAGGCATCCGGTGAGCCGGAGTCAACTACGCGTGTTCTGTACGGAACCAAGTGGCCGTACGGAACCGTGATACCATCAGGAGCAACACGAAAGCAGTGTTGCCACAGAAGAGGAACTAGATAACAAGTTCCAACAAGAAGAGGAATTACCACAGAGGTACTTCCGTGGGAGTGCTCCTATCCTCAACAAGAGAGCCATCGAAAGAGGCTACTAGAAGAGAGGTGCGAAGATTTTCACGTCGCACAAACAAGACGTATTACCAGGCCGATTACTCGGCAACGATAGGTCCTACGGAAGGACTGTCATACACAGAAGTGGGCTACTATACTGTAACTGACAGGCCCTGAAGAGTCCAAGTCCTCGAATGCAACAGGAACTGAGTTTCATTCAAGCAAAATTGAAAGAAAAACCGTACGGTAGCAGCCAGTCAATGATCAATGGATCGAACCACGACAACGGCTACTACTACAGGAACAAGAACAACGACGGCTACTCCTAGCCAGTCGCTGCTATTTGTTCGAATAAGAGCGAATTTTGCAATTTCCACCAGCAGCCAAGAACAAGACGACCGAAGCGATCGAACGATCGCTACTACTGGTACCAACAAGAACAACAGGCAGCGAGCACTACTACTCGCAAGTCGCAGTCGCTACCACTACGACGACAGCAAGAACAACAAGAACAGCCGACCGCTACCACTAGCCAGTTGGTGCTACTGCTGCAACAACAGGAACAGCGAATGCTGCTACTGTTGAAGCCATCGGTCGCTCATACTGATAGCGACGAGCGACAGTGACAACAAGAGTGTTGGCAGCAAGAAGAAGTGCCGACACAGAGCACAAGATTTTTTGTGAGGAAATCGCTGACTGCTGTCATCAGTTCCACGGAACGACAAAGAACAGGCCCAGTTCAGCGAGCACTACATGTACAAGAAGCAAAGCCACTAAACGTCCCAGCCAGGAAAAAGGTATCTTTCCGTCGCGAAAAGTATCTTTCCAGCAGGAGTGTACGGAGTCAGATCAAGATCTCTTCGTACGGTACAACGGCAGTGTAAACCAAGAGGATTCCACGGCGAATCCAAGCATGCCACCGGTACAGGAACTACTGGAGAATGTCCTCGCTGCATATGGACATTCAGATGGCTAGCTAGCTACCAGTACGGAGGGAAGCACATCCAGTGCAAGCCACTGGAGCAGTGCAAGCAGAACAGAGCTACAGGAAGCACAGGAGTGCATCCGCCCCAGCATTGAATTATTTTCTTCGGAGTTGTTTGAGTTTACTCAACACCTCCTATCCCTTTCATGGAGTGTGTATTGTGGCATCCCAGCCACAGCACCTCCTACTACCTTTTATGGAATGTGTATTGTGCAACTAATCCACAGCACTTCCTTCATGATTACAGGCAAACCTGAGGCAACACCAGCCTCTAAGTAGGCAACAACAAATACCATTACAAGTCCATGCCCTTGCTATTTGATCACAGCAAGTGCACAGGAGTGTGAGGGTACCCAAATCCAAAACCTACAATCCTACAAACAAAATCACCATAACATCCGCCTTTATAGGCAATGCCGTAACCATCAATGG